CTGTAATTGTAGGCCCTCAAATATGTAGTTTCTAGAATAAAAGATAGAGCACAGGTTTATTGTTAAAATTGTAAAGTAGGAACCCGTATTAAGATTTTTACTATTTCAGATCATTGGATAAGAAGTTCAAAACACAGATCAGACATTCAAAAGAGAAAAACTAAACAAAGAAAAGAGTTTATTACTAATCACAATTTTCAGAAATATTTTGAATCCTTGCTTGTTTGATACAAAGCATGCTAGTTAGCTCTCCCTCAACCCAGCCAGTGCTCTCTCATTTTTTATGCATAACATCTTACCTCACAAATACACAACTGCAATACTTCCTTCACAAAGGCCTTACCTTCAAAGTTGCTATAACTGAACACATGCTAGCACTTGGTCATAGTTCACACACCATAGCGAATGTCACTGAACTTGTTCTTGATCCACTTGAAGCTGTTTCTGACACTTGTTTTAAGCTTTCCTTCCACTGTCAACACATTATAGGCCTTGATTCTCTTCTTCCTCTTGAGTTCTGGATCATTTGATGCAGTAAAACCACTTCCCTTCTGGGTCGGCCCATTAAAATTATATGAGTTGGACCGATCTCTGAAACCAAATTCAGTGTAAGAACAGGAGTATTCAGGAAAAGACTTGCTTTTCTCCATGAAAAAAACTTCTCTTTGATCTCTCAATGCATGAAACAGGAAATATTTGTATTACATAGGCAAAAATGGACAAGCTGGTAGAGGGTTTTTAGAGGGAAGAGCTACATCATGATCCTGTGTGGTGGCACCCATGTGTGGGCTTTGAGAATCATGAGGGTCATTGGTAGTGTGGGAAGTGGGGCAGGCTTGTAGAAATAGGAGCTGCCACCATCTACACTAGTGATGACACAATATGAATTCTCATGGCCACCCTTTATAGTGGGGGGTCCCAAGTTTGTTGTTTTATTTAGTTTTTGATACCGAGATAAGGCACTAGGCTATGCTTTGAACAAATGCTGAATTGCCATTTGCAAGCTATTATACATTCACACATTTATTTTGTTTGGTCGCGCCAAACTTCTACTGTCCCAACCATTTATTAATGAAAATAAAATACGACTCATCTCTCTCTTTATGTCAAAATCAGTGGCTTAGTGCTCTGTGGTCCCTCGACTTTCATGCAGATCAAAGATTGAAAAGATTATCTTCATCCGTTTGCTTTGGTTGAGAAATTATCTAATGCGATTATCATCTGCTGTGTATGATTGACCAGTTTAGTATCATTATTTTTTGCACAAATGGGACAAAACCATCTGTGCTCCACATTTTCTGATCAAATGTTTGATGAATTTCGCAAAGCCTTTCCATTCGGAATTATCCATTCAATTTTAAACAGCCAAATAATGGTTTGAACCCAAATAATTGAGGAAGTCGCATGGTTCTGCTGTCACATACGAAGTTGCATGCTCAAACCTCTACTTTCATTAATGAAATTGGATTTAGTAATACGTTATACACATAATACAAAGAGAAATCAGAATCTGTGTATGATTTGATTAGAGTAGACTTTTAGTGATTACAGATGTTAGAAAACTGAAAAATAAAGACTCTGATACACGGTAGACCCACATGTATTATGGTATGGGTACAAAATCAAGTGGCCTATAAAAGCTTTGGTTCTCCGTATTCTTATAGCCTCCAAAATATATTTATAGCTTCTGAATGAATCACTCGGTCGATTTGGTCTACTCAGCAAGCATCTTCATGAATCTTCTCAAGTTCAAGAGGAAAAGATTGCCAAAATGAAAGTATAATGCCCATAAAAGAAATAAAATTAAGTCAAATATATATATATAGTCTGAATTCTTTGAGAATAGGCATCTTATCAATTTGCTGTTTTGAATCCAAAAGAAGAAAACCTGGCAAGCCTCTACCAAAACAGATGCCGAAAAGGGACCTTGCTTATTTCGGAATACCATAATGGCTAAGTCGATGGATCGTTTGAGCAACCTATGCATGAAGGTTTATGCTCCCCTCCTTTCCTTTTTTACCTTTAAGCCTATGCTAATGATTATTCTAATCTTCTGATTTTACATTAATGTAAGGGAATAAAATCCAATATTTTACATAGAATACCTATCTTACGTAAGTCTTGATTCTCATTTAATGTTAAAGGACGTGTTGTAGCCGTTGAAATAAACATGTACTGGTATAGATCCAAGTGAAGACAATGAGGCACACTCTTCCCAACACGAATATTGTTCATGCTGAAAGCAAATTAACATGCAACTCATAATTAATCTGGTTTTGCATTGACTAAAGTTGGGTGAGTGCATCTTCTCATCAACCTAAAGTTTATTACAGCAAGCAAAGCCAGCACATGATGCTGATGCCAGAAGCATCTCTCCCTTGGCAATTCAGCATGCAATACTAGTGATTTTTTTAACATAAATCCTTCGATATTTAATGACTCATAACAATGATTGGTCCACATTGCATTACTCTGTTACCTATTCTGATCCAATGATGATACGCCATTATTTCATTTTGTTTAGATTAAATTTAACTAGACTTTTCCCTTTTAGTTCTAGGCATGCAGATAAAGACTTCGCATGACACAAACTGTTCTTCGTATGGAGTGGAGTGAATATGTTGCAAACTGCAATCATGTTTTGCCAAGCGGCTATCTCTTGCTCTTTTTTTTTTTCTTTTTTTCTTTACACTGTTATGATCATTTCATAAGGGTAAAACTATACATCAAATTAACTGTATATGATCATACACAATATGCTTATTGCAGAGTAATTTATACAAACATCTTGGTGTGAACTACGATCTTTCTTGAAAAACAGGCATTCTAATTGAAAGTAGAAGAGTAAAACATGATATTAGTTGTTAAAAATTGTAATCATTTTAATGTTTAAATATACGAAGAAAGATACTTTCTCAAAGAGTATAAACCTTTTTGTGAAAATAGAAAAGAAAGTGGGTTTGATTTAGATGAGAGAAAAAATTAAAAAAGTTTGAAAAAGTGAAAATAAATGAAGAATAATATTAAGGATGTCTAGTTCTTAGTCCCCCAATCTCCCTACAGTATCATTAAGTACCCTCATTCTTGTCTCTTTCGTTCTCTTCATTTCACTTTCCTTTATTCATTTCTTTTCCACCCAATTGCTACTTTCCTATTTTCATGCTACTTATCCCAACATGAATTTCCTTTAACCCAAGTCTCGTATAGTGCTTTCTTACCTAAGCTTTTTCTTCAACCTTTTCTCCATTCATTATCATTTTTTCTAAATTTGATTTGATATACCACTACACCCTGTCGTTTAATTCAACGAAATATAGCCTCACAAAAAAAAAATTCTGATATTAATATTTTTAATTGGGAAGTTCACTTGATATTTCATTTGCAAACATTTCAATTTAAAATACATTGTGCAATTATTATAACAGTTAAAAAAAACTTATATATAAAATTAAATTATAGTATATAAAAAGGTAAAAATAGATAGAAGTTTAGTTTTTCTATATTGATTTAAATTTTGAGTTATATTTTTATTTTTACCGTCCAAAATTTTAGGCACTGTAATAGTAAAGTACGTAGTGTGAATCTAAAACATATTTTAAAAAATATATATGTAGTTTCTAGTATTGAACTAAAACATACAAACTATGCAAGTATAAAAACTAACTAAATAAATAATTAAATGTTTAAGGAGGGTTTATTTGCATTTTTTTAAAATTTTCTATTTCACCTTTTAATTAAAAAAAAATCCACATTAACTTGAATATACTTTCTTAATTCCTAATATTTATACAGAAAATAGTAATTTTTGGTATGTTTCTTGCATATATCTTAAAAAATAATGTTATATTTTTATAATTAAAAAGTGAAAAAGTGCAACCAAAAATTCCCTTTTCTTTCATCATGTACTGTATAAATGATAATAAAAGAATTGGGAGAATGATGTAAGAAAAGAAAAATAAAAGAGCATTTGCTTCCACTATTCTTTACTGATGCAAGGAAAGAAGCTTGGTGATCTGGACTCGTTGAAATCAGCTAATTAGAGCTAATTTGTGCGATGGATTGCTAACAATTTTTCCTCACAAAAAGACAGTAAGAAAAGAAGGGTATGTTCCCTTGGCTTATAATTTGTATATAAAAAACCGAAATTTCGTTTGGGTTAGGTATTTCTCTTTCTAATATAATAACAAGTAAAATTATTAATAACAAATAAAAGTAATCTAAATAAATTAAGTTTCCATAATTTTTTTTATATATTCAATGTCTCATGTTTGATCTTTTAATTGAAAGAAAAGCTTAAAAGAGATAAAGAAAAAGAAGTGGGTAGAGAAGTAACTGTGATGAAGGGTTTGGAAAGGGATAGTTAGCTCCATGAGTGGTCTTGTGGTTGAAGTTTGAAGTATCGTCACGGCCCTGGAATTTGGTTGGCTTAAATCCATTTCTAGACTGTGGAATGACTGTGATTCTCTTTCTACTAATTAATGCCTGTCATAATCATCTTCAACCTCCCTGCATTCATTTTCTTCAATTCTATTCTATTCTATTCCCACCTTTTATTTTTCCTTAGTTTCACTCTATTTCGCCCTTTCACCCCTTGTTACCAAAAAATACATTCCAGACAATCCAAGTCCACAAAACTACGGACCAATTTGAACCAGGCCCGATATAGGCATTTCCATCATTTGGGCCGTATGATCTGCTATGCAAAAAATAATGAGAAAAAAATTATGGAAAGAAAATTTTGGTCACCAATCCACAACAGGTGTTCTCTTGTGGGGTATCTTAGTCACCAATTTGGTTTCAATTTTATATAGTTGTATTATACTCCTCTAGGTCAAAATTGTAAATATGACAAGCTTTTTTTTATTTTATTCATGTTGAAATCCTCTTCCTTAAATGTTTAACTTCTTCAACGAAGCCTTATGTTCAGGATTTTACTATCACGGATGGGTTCAGGTCTGCTCTAAGGAAGTTATGTAGAAGATATATTGTGCGCATGATGATTAAGATGAAGTGTATTGTATACATGCCAATGAGAAGCTCTTATTCAGATTTTAAAATTTATTTCAACTCAAGTACGTATGTATATATAACTAGGAACATTAGAGAACGGTTCCCTACCACGTTAGATCATCCAGAAACAAGGGTTACGCATTATTCATGGTCATAACATATACAACAAAGAAGATCCGGTTACATTTCTATGAATTCTTGGGCCACATTTTCCACGACGGAACTCAAGAAGGCCTTGCTGTTGGCATTCCTCACGGAGCAGTTGGCACGAATCTCCCCTTGATTTCCCGTGAGCACACTGAGCTGACCCATCTTGAGCATGGCGAACACAAACTTCTCAAAGAAGAGACTCTGGTTCACGGCAAAGCTGGTGACAATGCTCTTGGTCCTCTTACGGTGTAGAGGTCTTGGTCGGAGGTGAAGAGGCCCTGTCGGTTCATGAGGTCAACGTAGTACTTGTTGTCGAAGGTATTGGGGGATCGAATGTCCAAGACTGTGTGTTGTCGGTGGTGTTGGTGGGGCAAGTGAGTCTGAGGTTTTTGCCAAAGGTTTTGTCCATGACAGGGTCCTGTGTAGGGTAGAGTCTGTTGTTGAAAGAGCTGCAGTGACTTATGCCTATGGTGTGGCCACCAGAGAGGGATACCACATCGGTGGGGTCGAGGTTTTTGGTGGCGAGGGAGTTTAGGATGGTGGTGGTGTTGCTTGAGGGTGGTGGAAGGTTGTCCAATGTCACCTGTCTAGAGGCAAAGGTTAACCCATCTCTCCTTCCCAAGGGAATCTCATAGTCTGGTCCCCCTGACTGTCATTCATAATAAAGAAACAATTTTTATACATTATCAATCCACAAAACGAGAAAGAAGGCTTTTGCTTTATAAAAGAAAGTGTCAAATGGAGAAAATGTAAAAACAAAATGTTGACCATTGTTTAAGGGTATGGTTGGATTGACTCACTGAACATCCTTTTATGTATTTTGTTTTCCATGAATATGAATGGTTCCATTTTCTTCAACGTGTATTAGTATAACTAGTTGTAACCAATTTGCTGACTTTCTTCTATGTATTATGATGTACAAAAAGAAGACAAGTATTGAAAAAACATGCGTACTTATTTCTTCAGTATTCAAATGACACTCCCTTAATTGTTTAAAGTAGTATATTTAAAGAATGACAATTATTTAAAATAAAAATATGTATATTATTTTTGTTTGTGTACGTTTTAACGATAAAAGATATAATGGTATTTTAAATATCTGCTCATTTTTAAGTACCTTTTTTTTTCAAATTGGAAGGAAAGGATTATATAGTACGGGACCTTGATTTTTTTTTTCTCTTAAACCTCATGTATTAAATGAGGGATTTATTCTTTTATATGTGCGTATTCTTTCTGATGTTGTTTGTCATGTCCTTTTCTCGTATTAAACGTGTTTTTCTCGTATCAAACAAAAGTTTTTTGAAATATTTTCTTATGTGTTTTTTTTATCTTATGTTTATTTCATTTAAATCTAATGATAAAATGATTAATTTTGGGAAGAACAAAAAGTGTTTAGTTTCATGTTTGGAAAATACGTAACCTTCATCACTCCCTCAATTTTCTTTGGTAAAGATAAAGTCACATACGACAATGACCAAGACATATTTTTCTAATTTTATAATAATGATTTTAAAAGTTATGTTTAGCATATTTTTCGATAATAACTAATACACAATCTCTGAATAATATTGAAAAGAAAAAAAGTTAGTTTGAGACTGTTTTTTCTTCCATTTGACAACTGTGTTATTATTAAATTAGTATAATAAAATTAAATTTAAATGAAATTATTGAATAAAAAATGATTATATAGAATTGTTAAGAAAAAGTAAGAGAATAAAAAGAGTGTGAAAACATGAAGTCTTTCCAAAATAATGGTACTTACAAGGAAAACAGCATCACGTGCAGCGAGGGCAGTGATGTCTGAACATGAGACGACTCTTCCACAGCTCTTCTCTAACAGACCACGAATCCTTTCGATGATCCTAAAAGCTTCAGCTCTCAAAGTCAAGTTTGGTGGCGCATCTTTCTCACTCGGCCCACTTGCAGATCCATCCAATAAAACTGACCCATCACATCCCTACATCAAACGCATTTCTCACCATGATTTTTGTACACCCAAATCGATGAATGTTTCATAACAGCTAAATGTGGATTAATTGTTATCAAATTCTTTCTTCCAAAAATGTTTAGTGCCCACGAGTACCAAGTGTTTGTGTTTATGTTTGTGGAGTGTGTTTTTCACCGTTATTCATTCTGTAAACTAGTGTTTGATTAATTACCTGAACAAAGCAGTCATGGAAGTGAAGGCGAAGCAAGCCAGCAGCTTGAGCAATGTCGCTCTTGAAGACCTTTTTGAGCTCAGTTCTAACTATGGATTTAAGCGTAGGGCAAGTTTTGGAATAGAAGGTATATGATAGACCTCTGACAGTAGGAGGCCTGGCTTGTGCCTCACACACTTTAATAACTGAAACAGAAAGAATGATAGAGAGGAGAAGAAAGCTGAAAATAGCATTCTTATTAGAAGAAATAGAAGCCATGATCAAAAGTAGAAAGGTAATGGGTTCAGATGTAGCAAGGGATGTATAGTATTTATAGAGAATTAGTGAGTCTGAAGAATGGACCACTGCGTGAATGTGAATAATAAATGGAGTTTTGCAGATTACGAGGATTCTCAGCAGCCGTGTGGTTGGTTCAAGGACGTCTCCAGAGGAAACAAAAGGTTAGACAATGACAAGGCAAGTGAACGAGATTATATTACAATGAATAGAGCCTATATATTGACGATCTCCTCCGTTCAATTTTCTTTCACATAATAAATTGATTTTTAAAATTTAAGTAATATATTTTACATTTATTTGACAATAAAATGGTATGAAAAAATTTATAATTTTTCATAAAAAGTAAATTAAAAAATTTTTTTTTTTAATTAATTTTAAAAATTTTTTGTTTTTTAAATTTTTTTTTTTTCTAAAATTTATCTACTTTTAATATTAGTTTTTCTTAGCTGTCTAAACTTGAAAGCTCCCTCGACTGTTCCTACTGCTCAACAGGGCACGTGTACAATTCAACTTTGACGGCCATCATTATGTTTCAAATTATTCTTTTTCAGTCAGTTTTGTTCCAAATTAATTAAAATACACGAATCCAGTAATATCATCTTTACCTCCATTTATTTATTTTTTCTCCTTGAAAGTAAAAAATTAAGCTGAAAATTAACCATTTTATTCAGTTTATTTTCAATAGCTAATAATTTTGGAAAAGTAATAAAGCTTTTATATAAAAAAAAAAATACCTATAGGAGTTTTCAAACCTTACGCAAAGCTTAGTAGTTTTATATCTATTTCAATCTCATCAATATATAACTTGTGCTGCTTTTTATAACTTTATTGTACTATTTCTTTTATATCTATATTTTGCTCTTTTGGTATATTTTCTATGTAGTCCCATACGCCTTCTTGAAACATGTTTCAAAATTGCTTTATTTATTACTTTACTATTTTTTAATGTTTTATTTTGATAAAAATTATGTAAAATTAAACAACAATATAAATCAAGATGGTCTTTTCAGCATTGATAATTAATATTTTAATTTATTTTATTCATGTTATTGTATTAATCAAATAAATTAGTTTACCATTTAAACTGTTTTTTTTTAAATTAACTATGTGATTTTAACGTTTTATATTTGTTTGTATCGTTAAAGCATAATTATGTCATTTGTGTTAAGCTTTATCCAAGAAATATACACAAAAGGATAAGACTGTAAGGCCCGTGGGTCAACTTTATTTGAAACCTAAAATTGAAGTTAGGTAGAAAAAAATATATTTGCTCAAAGTATTACATAAATGTTTTTTATACGATGACAACTCTTAAATACCTTTATTAATAAACTAAATATTAAAGATGACAATATTTAAGTCATTATTTTTATTATAGTTTAGGTGTTTTGTTATAATTTTCATTCTTGTTTTAATATTCCTTTAATAAAATATCACAGTAACAACTTTTTAAACACCAGTGAAGAAGGCTTTTAATGTCTATTATTTAGAGTTTTTAATATTTGATCTCACATTGATGTTTTGTTGGGAGACGTCAGATAGTATAGGTCAGACGTCTATATAGACGTCGGATTGTGGGACGGCTGACTTTTAATCTCCTCGACGAATCTTGGTTTCTGTAATCCATTAGACATTTTCATGTGCACCGTTCAAAAACACATTGGAGGTAAATGGAGGAGTGCATCGTTCAAAACCGCAAGAATCACCGGCCAAAAACGCTCAAAATCGTCGGCCAAGGACACGCGCAAAACTGCACCAAAACGCAACGAAAACGCATTATAATCAGTTCAAATGGAAGATAATTCATCAAAGAGTAATGTAATCGGAGTAAAACTAATTTTAAACGATGCAAAATAGAGAAAATGAACCTCAAAAGCTTTGGACATGGAGAGAAAACGTGAGGAAGATGATGAACACTAAGTGTGCGTAGTAACTGTTGTCTCGTGTTCTCGGTTTTGGTAATAGCAGACATTTTAGAAGTCGGACCCCCTCCTAGCACGTCTAAATGACTTTAGAAGTCGGACCTCCTCCTAGCCGACATCTAAAGGGCTTAAAATATAATTTTAGTGGACACATTTGGCATCCGGGGTTAGGAGGGGCTGACGTCTAAATAAGACTTTAAATGTCGGTGTGGCGAGATCGAACGTCTAAATGATAACTTTTGGAATTCTGACTACCTCATTGGCGTCCAATGGTGGGCCCCGAAGTTTAAATAGGTCTTAGACGTCGGATATCCTGAACTTGGACGTATAAAGCCAATTAAAATGGCGTCCAATTGTAGGGGCCGACGTATCTTATTTTTTAGACGTCAAGAAACCCCCAACCAACGTCTAAATGGTGATTTTAATTACAACAATGTCACCGATCATTTTTTACATCAGATATTTGATGGTCAAACGTCTAAAAGTTGACGTTAAAGAGTTTTTCTGCACTAGTGAAAAATGATTAATCTTAATTACTTAATCACATAATTTTCCTTCAATTTTCATTTTAAAAAAGGTAAACTTTTATACAGTGATCATATAAGTTTTACACGGTATAAAAAAGAAAAAGCGTATGACATTATCTTTAATGATTAAAAATTAAATTACACTAGACTGGGGACATGAAAGTTTGTTACATTTACTTGATAGAAAGTCATATAACAAAAGTAAATGTTGTTGGACTTGAGGGCATGATTGAGACATTGGATAGAAGTTTGGCGGTCACTGAATTTTAAATAAAGTTAACAGACAATATGTCAATGCATGAAATATTATATAAATGACTTTATAATTTGAGAGTTTAAATAATAATCAATATTGTAATTTTAAAATTAATATAAATATTAAAATATCTGTATTTATTGTATAAGAGGATTTTCGCTTTTGGCGTATACATTTTTTTTTTTAAATAAAATAATTATTTTACCCTTTGTTTCTAAAATTTAACCTTTTTTAAAAAAGAAATAGTACATAAAAATAATATCTAAAAATAATAAAATTACCAAATAAGTAAAATTATAAAATTATTTAAATTTAATTTATAATTAAATTAATAACTTATACTTTTTGTTATACATAAAAAAGATAAAATCATACATTCAACACATAGAATAAAGCCAAGATTAAAGTAAAAAGTGTGTTAAAAATAATTAGATGAGAAACTCAAACCATGACTTATATAAATAAAAATAATTTTAAATCTTAAGAGACTTCATTGAATATCTAGAAACTTAATTTTTATTCCCTTTAAATTGTAAGTAATCTGGTGTAAAAATATAGACGAAAAAAACTAATCAAATAATTTATCATATGATTAAATTAGTAAAAAGACATTTTTTCAGATTTTTATTCACTCTCTATTGTCGGAACAATTAGCACCGATATAGAGTCGCACAGTGGAATAAGATATTCGAAAAGCATGTTACGGTCACAAATCAAGTGTCCGTTTTAAAAAATCAATTTTCTTAGAGAAAATTTATCAAACAGTTGAAGTGCATAAAACAATAAAGAGTGTAGGGAATAGAAAAATTGACACACTGAATTTTTATCCTGGTTCGAATAAAAAGATTCTACGTTCACTCGTTAATCACTATAGTGATTAACCTTTTTCACTAAAAATATAGTTGTACATATTACAAGATAATGAAATGAGCAAAGAATAGAAAACACCTTCCTTCGACAACGAACCGAAGAGTGCAACAAGTAACTTCCTTCGACAAACGAACCGGAAATTTAGAGCTTCCTTCGACGCACGAACCGGAAGCAACAGCTCTGTCAACTTGAAAGAGAACTGCTCTGACACTTTGATACACAAAGCGCGAAGCTTCTCCTGATTCAACAAGACCAGCAAGAGCACTCTATCACTTGAGACCTTCCTCAGACCAAATGGATTATCAAAAGCCCATAGATCATTTTCACCCACAAAGAGTTTCCTTAGGCACAAAGCTCTAATACTCTCAATTGAAAAGTTCTTTCTAAGATCTGTGAAGACCTCTATTTATAAGCCTAGTTTCGTGCAGGGTTAAAAACTGAAAAAACATCTCCCAAGTGCCACTAGTGATAATCGATTATTTGTGTCTGTTATGGGGTTTTCAAAATGTGATAATCGATTATGCTGAGCAATAATCGATTATTTCAAAGACTTTGACAATATTAAATGAAACAATGATAATCGATTATTCTGTACAATAATCGATTATTTGCACGAGCAACTCTCTTCTAAATTGGCTCATGATAATCGATTATTTGCGCAATGACTCACGAAAACTTCTTAACAGTTTTTACATCATTACAATTTATCCTATATATTTGTTTCTACAAAATGCATTTAACAAAGATGCATTTAGAGTCTTCAATTCTTCAGCTTTTATCATCATTAAAACTTCACACTAGCTTCAAGATATCAATGGTCCTTATTGGTAACATCTATCTTGTTTTGTGTAAGTCATATTGTAAACATTAACTTTTAACTCTCTATGTGTCTATTGAATATCGTAAGACTATATTAAATTTATATTTACATAGTTAGCTCAACTGATAAACATTGCTTCCGTTTAGTTTTAGGATGTTATTTACTTTAAAAGTATTTGCCTATTTGTAAATAATAAATATAGTTATAGAAATATGATTTTAAAATGTTTCATGTATCCAGTTTGAATGTTCCATATACCTATGGAAAGAGGGAAAAAAATTCCAATCCTATATTGCATTCATTGACATAAAGAAAATTAACTTTCTATTAGTCTAGACTTACAAATGAAAACACATTATTTCTGCTAAGCAAACATCAAGTCTAACTATGACAGTTATGTATTTCTTATGAATTGAATTGAGGGTAGGTTTAATTTATTTTAGTATTTTAATTTTTCTTAAATCTTATTTTTACTTAATATTTTACTAATTATCCAAACGAGTGTTAACACAAATAAACATTTTTTTTTTTTGTTTATATGGAAACTAGAGTGATCTTTTCAATTTTACATTGTTTATTCAAAATTGTGAAAAAGAAAAAGAAATTATTTACCGATTCTCTTCTATTTTTTAAAACCTATTATTCAAAATAATAACTCTCGTCTAAATGTTATTAAGTTTTAAAAATATTATAAAAAAAACATCTTAATAATTAAAAATGAAAAGAACTAGAAAT